CAAACGCTGATGTGATAATACAAAATATGATCGGCAAAATGATCGACATGTGATATAAGTATGTCCACCCTGCTATATACATGTATGTCCCCAATCTTATATGTGAAATAATGATTATCAGAAAAAATATTCATACTCAAATATTGTTTTATTAATATGATAATAGCGTGACCAGAGATATGATGCAAAAATAAATGCAAATCAATTCAAAAAAATCATGTGAATATATATATGATTCGTATGTCACACAACCTTATTATTTGGCAAGAATTTTACTAAATATCTTCTGCATATTTCAGGTGATCGACTACATGACCGGTCTAAGCCACAATTGCGAATTTGAATTTATTACTTGAAGTAAAGCAAGTAAGACAATATTCTATTCTATACCATTTAATATATAATTTATAATTCTTATATTTTTTATCGCAAATAAGACATGCTGAGCTTTACGGTTGAGGTAATGCAAAATTATAATTATCAATCCCTCTAAAGCTATTTCAGAATTTCAAGTATGTGAAATGCTCTAAGACAGATTTGATAATTAATTCTGGATTAGGTTTACTTCAAAAGTGATAAGCTTAAAATTAGTTTAGCTGACATATTTATTATAGCTTCTAATAATTGTCATAGCTCATGTCTAGTTTCTTTCTTATATATTTTATATAAATTAAAACAAATCTTATCTGTCAAAATAGTTGGTAAACCAGTTAATTTGATATGCCAATTCAGATACTCAGAAGTTAATATTTTATCAGACTTAATCTAAATATCAAAACTTTTGGATACTAGACAAACAAACTTAATTTTTTGTATTTTTATAGAAATAACGATTTTCAGTTTTTTATCATACCATACTTCAAGAAGGAAAATTCTATTATCTTGACAAATACATCATTTTCACTGATCACGATTAACAATGTCTTTGAGTTTCTTAACATCTTTATACTAGCTAATACTATAAAGCCGATGCTGAGCATCTTACACCTACTTTGAGTATACTGTTACCTATTTATGTGATTTTGATGCTCTGTAGTCTTTTTATTGCTTTGTAGCTATCCGCTTATTTTCATTGTTCTGTGATCTTTTTGTTACCTTGTAGCTATCTGCTTTATTTTATTACTCTGTCCTCTTTTTATTATCAAGGAACTATTCATGTGTTTACAATGCTTTGCGTTCTTTTTGTTTCTAAAGAGCTATTCGCTTGTTTTTCTGCTTCTGAGCCTATTTGGTGGCCTGTTGAGATATCGAGGATGCTTCTTTTTTGTGCTTATTTGGTTGCCTTTTAAAATATTGAAATAGTGTAAAAAAAGAGGCGACAGATAACGCAGTGAATTTGTGATTAATTTTTACTATAACTCTGGCTGATCTTTTGGGTATGTGATTTAAGGATCCAATTTGGTGTCATGATGGTATTGTGATGGCATCCTGGTAGTGTCATGGAACTCTCCTGAAACTGTCATGGAACTGGCAGGGAGCTAGAGTTTCAATTAGTTCACCAGTTTTATGCTAGCTTGGGTGTCAAAATATTATATCCAAAGTTTTGGTTGAAATTGTGGAATAGTGTTGACCGAAATTAAACGAATAAGTCTTACACGAAGACTATACTATAGCAGAACACATATCTAGAAAGATGGAGCCTTCTTCCAATTTTTTATATATAGATTACGAAGAAGGTTCCACTTTCAGATACATATCTACTTGTCTTCCTTTTACGATTTGCTTACTAGCTTGCTATATGTCTCTTTTTCAAGGAATGAAAAAATAAATGCGCTAGCCTTTTCTGATGGTAGTATTTATTTGCTCTAATTTTTTTGCATGTGGATCACAAAATCCATATCCGCCTCTAGTCCATTCCTCGCATCTGAGTTGTTTGTAAGGAACTTGCTACATCTGGTACATACTAGTGTTAGGGTATTCTTCTGCCAATATTTATATAATAGATTATACAGAAGAATACCCTAAATATCACCTATTAGAATACATACTAGTGATAGGATAGCCTCTTCCAATATTTATATAATGATTACGGAGAAGGCTACCTTAAGTATCACCTATTTAGAATATGTTTATTTACGATTTGCTCACTAAGTTCAAATGAAGCCTTCTGCCATTTTTATATAATATAATTCTGCAGAAGGCTTTATGTCACATCTGACTACATACTAGTGATAGGGTAGGTAAATGCCAATATTTATATAATAAATTACGCACTTACCTACCCTTATATTTGCCTATTAAGAACATGCATATTCCATTTTTTTACCATCTTGTTATACATCTCTTTTTACAACCATCAAAAAAAAAATAATTAAACATTTTCGATTTATATAAAGTTATATAATTCCTTTCAAACTGATAACATGTATACACCAATTATTTCTGACCAAACTGATCATACTGGATCTGGCCCAATGCTCGCCCGCTATGACAATGCTGAGTCTGTAGCTGATATCCCATTATGTAATGATATTGTGGCAGAATTCAATAATGGAATGACTGCTATACTTCAGCAATGCTTATCTAATAAGCAATCTGTACACTTTATACCTACTGCTGTAAGTGATGAGACCGAACACATTAATGGAGTATTCACCTATATTTTATGTGTTAGTGGTTGCTTGATTAATAGGCAAAAAACTATCGTGAATATTATGGGCATTAAACCTTTCTTTGATGTTGTAGTACCTGAAGAGACATCATTACCTACATTTAAGACCAGATTAGTAAATATACTGTCTAATACCCTCAAAAGCACATTGAAATTCAGGATCAAGCATATTAGCACTTTTTCACTTCAAGGTATTATACAGAAAAGAAACCATATATATGTATTACTACTTGGAATCATTTTGATCGATATAAGACATTAAAAATAGTTCGTGAAGTTGGTATTAGCACCGCTTCTGATGACCTAAATCCTACATATTATTATCGCAAAGTAGCCTGTGAAAAAAAATTACCTCTTTTAAGCTGGGCAGTACTAAGTAATTATTTATACAAATACAAAGGAAATGCATCAGCAAATATTTATTCATTCCAAGTATCTGTGAACAATTACAATCCAATCAGTGAAGACTAAAGATGGTACAGCAATTGATTTCAAATTTACAAAATATTGTAACATAAGCTAAAATTAGTTGCAATATATGTTGCAACATTATAAGTTGCAACATATATAGGTTAAAACTAATTGCAA